AAAAAAAAGTGCCGAAACTCAAAACACCTTTACAAACATTCTCTTAGCTTTCCAAATTTTTTGTTCTCACACATTCAGCTACGTCCTTAATATTTGGCATTTTGATTTATTAAGCAATCTTAAGTCTTAAAGGCTTTTAGCGTACACCAGCGCAAGACTTCAGATGCATTGTGCCTTGTGTCAATGATGAATTAATTCCAGCAGAGCACAAAAGTTACTATTATTTAAGCCTAGCTCCTCACCTCTGCTTTTACATCACACTCCAGTTCTAAAAGGCTGCAGACTGGGCTGCGTCTTACGGAGGGAAGCGAGGCAAAGGCGGGTGTGTCACGTCTGTGGATGTAGCAGCGTGGGCACGCTATGGCCAGCGCAGGGCAGCGGGCGCGGAGAGCGCCCCTGGGGCGGGCTCCCTGCGGGCCGGGCGGGCAGCGCCCGCTGCGCTCCCGGCGCTCTTTGCGCTTCGCTCTCTGTGCTCCTTGCGCTGCGCTGCACTCCCTGCTCTTCCTGCCCTGCGCTCCCCGCGCTTCTCTCGCTGCGCTGTGCTCTCTGCGCTGCGCTCCTTGCACTGCGTTCCCTGCGCTGCGCTCCCTGCGCTTCTCTCGCTGCGCTTCGCTCCCTGCGCTGCGCTCCCTGCGCTTCTCTCCCTGCGCTGCGCTCCCTGCGCTGCGCTCCCTGCGCTGCGCTCCCTGCGCTGCGCTCCCGGCGCGGCCCCGCGGGGCTGGCAGCGCGCGCCGAGCCTCGCGTGAGCGGCACGTGCGGGGCACGCCGAGGCCGAGCCACGCGGGCCGCACCGCCCCCTGGCGGCCTCAACAGGGCCGCTCCCGCCGCTGGCCCGGGCCGGACCCGAGCCCTTCGCGCCGGGCCCGGGCCTCCCGCACCGCCCGGGCCGGGGCCCAGCCCTTCACGCCGGGCCTGGGCTGCCTGCACCGCCCGGGCCGGAGCTGGGCCTGGTACCACAGACCCCGCAAGCCGGGCGTGACACACACCCTGTCATAAATCGAGGAGGTCTAATTGCGGCAGGGCGCACTATCCTGCTATTTGTACAAATAAAAGACCCCATCTTGATGCAAAATAAACACAAAAGCACTGTTGTGACTATAACAGGGAGTCATATACTAATTTATATAATAAGTGGTTGTGCACGCTTTATTCAAGATTATGGCTGCAAGAAATGGCATGAATTGCTGGGTGTGTTTAATGCTGGATTATAGCAATTTGAAACATGTCAAACACATGGCTAATGCCTCATGCTTCACTCATTCTTGCGGAAACCTGCATAGCCACCATCCATTATACCCTTGGTAACAACACAATTCTGCAAGTAAATATTGTTACACTAAGTAACCTTTCAATTCAAGTTGTTTAGGAAGAGAAAATGCAATCTTGTGCAGTCAGTTCCAGTGTCAGTTTAATGTTTCAAAAGGGAAGTGGTGTAGAGAATAAGTATCTGTACAGTGACTTGCCGGCTTAAAACACACACTCGTGCACGTGCGGGCACACGGGCGCATAGAAAATGCCCAGTTTGCTGCAGGGGAAAAAAGTAAAACTGTAGCTTCTAACTCAGCAAGGTGGAGTATTGCTTTTTTTTTTGCATGGGTGATAGCTTTGCTACCCTTGCACGATTAGGTATTCAACCTGCAGTGCAACCATGTTCTAAAATGATCTACACTTTCACTCTCTCCTGCAGACAGCAGCAAATATTTTTCCTATACCTTTGTTTAAAATACCGGGTAGCAAGGCTTATATCCCACCTTTGGCGCCAAGAGTTACAGAATCACGGCAGAAGTAGGTGCTGGTGAATCTGTCTGTGAATGTGGGTGCGTGTGTGCATGTGTGCCTGTGTAGGCATGCTCATGACTGACAGCGAGTGTGACAGCAAGAGAAAAGAGAAGGATTAGAAAGTATGAATGTGTATAAATGTATGTAAACAGGGACCTGTATATTTTTTCTTGTCCTATTTGAATTACCAAACTTACAGCCTTAGTATCTGGCTGATACCTGTCTATTTCCTTTGTGTTTATTTATGCTTATTTTAGTAACAATCTGTACTATTGTTGTAAAAATAAGAAAAAAAGTGCATTAGTTTGCTCAGTAAGATGTTGCAGGTTCAAATTATTTCTTTACCAATAACTCAAGTTACTGATACATAGACATCAGAAATGATCCTTGTTTAGATGTTTTCAGTGCTTCAGTTTGTGAGGATTTAGAGTTGATAGTACATACACACACAAGTGCATAGACTCACGTATATATGTATGTCTATGCAAGAGAAAAGAAGAGAAAAGAAAAAGATTCTATGCTCTTCCTTTCTCCAGCAGTTACTGACAGTTGCTGACAGTGAGGAGGGGGCTGAGGACAGTCAACACAGTGCATTACTCTAGTCAAAGTTTTAGTGTAATTTTTAACAATGTAATTTTAAAACTAGAGAAGTACTCCTCACACTTTATTTTTAACATAAAATTATAGGGTCTCTTTTTTATTCATTAAAATACTTCTGTGTTTCTTCCACTTCAGAAGAAATTGCCCTTTCTAGGATTGTTACTTTGTAGTTTCATTCTGTCTGTACCCAGCTGTTAGATGGGATTTGTTGTTTTCTATTGCCAGAATAGTGTTACTGATGATGTTACGTTGAAGCCGATTCTGCTGGCTCACAGACACTTTAACTTTAAATGTACAGCCTGAACTACACTCTGGGGCTTTGCAAGGATACAAAATCCACAAGACATAAAACCCTTTGGTTAATATGAACTGGAAGACATTTAACCCTTCTTTGTTAATTGTAATGAAACAGTCAGAGAGATGTAAAAACAGGAGGGATGATGTATTTATTTAATGCATTTCTGGGTGTTTTGTAATGTTTTGATTATCTAACATTTACACCCCTTTGCCCTTTTAATGTGCCTGGCTAAATGTACCACTGTTACTGTCTAACATTTGAATTTGTAAAAGATGAACCTGTCTGTTGGTTAAATCTTTGTTTGACTAAAAGAGGATTAACGTTTGAATTTCCCAAATTTCCAAATCCTTGTAACGATACAGCTGATGAAGTTTTAAATAAATTTCCACTCTGATACACATGTCCTTTTATTGAAAGTAAATATTGTAAAAATCGGAAAGGGCTGTCTGCTTCCACAGTTGTGGCATATCCGCATTAGAATTTTCATATAACTACTAAGGGCAATCAGACCCTTTTCTCTGAATATTTTAAACATTGTACATGTAAAATTTATGCCTAATTTGAATACTTATTAGCTGCCTAATCTCAGAAAAGAGTATTAGCTTTGTTTTTGCCTTGTAAAATTCATCACTGCTTGTATCACATTTTCCATTTCTATTATTTTTCTTCACTGATGTTCATAAGTGTTTTAGAAGGACTGTTTCTTCATAAACACATCTGGTGCTGATGTTGTTTACTGGGCTATAACAGCTGCCCTTCTTTATGTTGGCTGTGTTTGTGCGTAGTTTTTTTGCATCTTGCTTATTTCTGACCAGATCATCCTTAAATAACTCATCTTTTGCTGTTTTAACATTTTTGACACAATATATACTTGCCTTGTAGGAGCTTGTTTGTGGTAGCTCATACTGCATTTTAATTAATATCCCATGCACATAGTTAAAGTTGTAATGATCCTTTTCCTGCTTTTTTTTTTTTTTTTTTTTTTTTTAAGGAAAGGCAGTTGCTCATACTTTGCAAGGGAAAAATAGCTAAGTTAAATAATTAGGCTAAACAGCAAGCTTTGTTTCCTTTCCTGAGTTTGCTTACACATCCCTCTCCCTTCAGAGATGTTTTTTAAAATCACAGCTCAGCCAGGTTGTTGTGAGGACTCTTGTCAGTAGGTCGGGAGTGAGGATGAAGGAAGGGAGCTCCATTCTGATCCTGCAAGAGCAGGAGAGGACTTTGGTGGCTCTGAGAAGAGACACTGACCTTTCCATATTACAGATACAAAATGCACCTTGAAATTCTGGTTTGTAAGGGCACGTTGGTTCTTTATTTACTGCAAGGATTTCAACTGATCTTGGCAGGACATCTCATTGCAATCCTGGAAGTACAGTATATTTATGCAGTGAAAATGATAAAACATTTATTACTGTAGAGAAGGTAATATGCATAATTTATGCTGTTTTTAGCACAATCATTAGTGATATTCTTGATAGATTTTATTTCCAGCTTTCATATCTAATACATGCCTGGAAAATTAATTTTATATCTTTCATTTATTTGCCTATGTTAAAATTGAGTTTTAAGTCATCTTCAAGTGAACAGTTTGATTGCTGCTCATGCATAAGCTTAATTACTTCCCAGGAAGGACAGTATTAAATGTTTTAAATGTCAGAAAAATAAATGAATATCAGGCGTTTGATTAAAAAAATAGGCAATATCTGACGTGTTTGCAGCAGGAGCTTTTTCTTAAAATGCCTCCGAGGCAAAATTTTATTTAGTCACAAAAAAGGAGAAGCCCATTATACTATTTATCATTGGTTGATACCATATGATTTGTAACACCCTTACAAAATTTTAATTTTGTATGATTAGCTGTGCATCATTAAACAACAGCCTTGCATAAGATATGCTGTAAAATTCTGACAGAATCAAGATAGTGAATATTTTAACTAAGGCTGTATAGTCATCCATGGTTGTCAAAGCTAGATAATAGGAAATATAGAGCAGTGTGTGAAATTGTGCCTTCACTTAAACTGGTTTTATAGGTAGACTTTAAAACGTAGTCGTTCATAAATGCTATTGACCATGCTGCGTGCATGGTGTGTTATTTTGGCCGTTAAATGTAAGCACACAAAGCTTGCTTATAGAAATCATAATTCCAGTGATTAGCAGCTGTACGAAAGCAGAGTTTGCATTGCATTTCTTGGTAAACGGCTCTGCGAGGCTTTTTTCTTCTTCTAAAGATGCTGTCTGTGTAATTGGCAGAGAGGGACATCTTGATAATGGAAGTGTGAAGGTGTAACGCGTGTGTTAATTGATACTTCTTAATCACTTTTAGGTATTAAGTCATGATGCAGGAATCTGCGACAGAGACAATAAGCAACAGTTCAATGAATCAAAATGGAATGAGCACTCTAAGCAGCCAATTAGATGCTGGCAGCAGAGATGGAAGATCAAGTGGTGACACGAGCACTGAAGTAAGCACAGTAGAACTGCTGCATCTGCAACAACAGCAGGTAAGTTTGTTTTGTTTCCTGTTTGTTTTTAAACAAATAAAGGGCTGTTTTCAGAGGGGCACCCTTTTGGAGACCCTCGGTGTGTGCTGAATGTGGAGTGTCGTGGAAGTGAGGAGCATGGGGCATTATTTGTTGTTGTTTTAGTGCACGATAATGCTGAAATGCAAGGATCCCTTTCTTGTGGCAGCAACATCTTGATGATATGGCTGCATGCCACCACGTTTGCCTGGTGATTAAAATCCCGCTGCGTATTTATAAAAGTTGTGCCGAAGCCTTGCAGTGCATGTTTTCAGGAGCTGTTAGTTTACTGTGCGATTCGGGCATGCAGGACATGGTGCGGGGTTTTCCACCAGAGGGCCACATTACTTGAGACTTTGCTTCGCTTGCAGTGAATTGTGCCAAAGTCGGAGATGGGCAGTGAAGGGACCCTAGTGAAGGGACCAGAGTGACTTTTCTCAATAAAGATACTTTGCTGTTGTAGGTGTAATTAAAAAATGCTGGTTAGTTCAAAAGCACTGAAATAGAAAATACAGTATTCCTGTCTGTGTGTGCTTGTGTATGTGTGAACTGTAATAAGGACGTGTAATTCTGAAAACATGGGAAAAGAGAAGAAGCAGCTTTTCTGCTTTTTTTTTTTTTGTTTCCATTCTCATTTTGAAAACATATTTTTTGTCTGTTTGTGTTCCAAACAAGTTAATGGAGAACTGCTCTTGTGTTTAAAACTAGAATTCACCTGTTCTCTGACTGCTGACACCACCTAATTACAAGATGCAATCCATTAATTTTTGTCACTGCAAGATTTCTCTTCCTTTTAAATCTGAACAAACAAAACTCCTATTTTATCTGCCTAAGGAGTTGCTGCTCCATCAGGGAACACAGATTGTACTAATGCAGTGAAGCCCAAACCGTTTGGTAAACAATCGGGGTCTGATTCTGCAGAGTACCCAGGATCTGCTTCAAACTCCTGGAAGTCTTCGCTGCCTCATTCTTTCATTTGCTGAGCCCACTCAGCACCTTTGGAGCTCAAATCCTTAGTTTTTAAATGCTGAGGCTTTTTATTACAATGTCAGGTATTACATTAATGGAAGGAAAGTTGTCTTCTGTTAGATAAAATATTATAAAAATGCTGCTTTATAGAAACATGTTTTAACATGATAGATACATTGCATTTGCATGGGCCTCTGAAATAACAGGTCATAATAGCTCTTAAAATTGAATAATTTTTAGTGCTGAATTAAGCAGTGTACACTAGCTACATTTATAGTTAAATATTTTAAATGGTGACAGAAAATGTGGAAGAAGGTAATAGTTATATATTGAGATATGAGAAGTTGTTGAGGCTTAAATCTGTGTCTTGCTTCAAATTCAAGTGTATTCTATTTTAACAATTGAGCACTTACAGTATGACAGTCTGAAGAAATAAAGGTTTCAGTGTCTTCATTATGTTCTTAGCAGGTTTCTACCTCTCTATATATACATGATTATGTGTGTATATATATACCTTGTGTTTTTATACTCTTTTCATATAAAATTGTACACATAGAAGCAGACACAAAAATTTAATATTATTTTCATTGAAAATTATGCCATCATCTTTATTCAGGTGTTCAGACTATAACAAAATTTCAAAATCCTTGTTGAGAACGAGTATATCGAATCGGTGAATATGTTTAGAAAACTAAATTTAAGTGAAGTACTTTAAAACACAAAAATGCTAATAGAATAACGTGCCACTTACATGTTTCTCAAAGTAGCAGTCCTAGGCATGTGTAGCCAATTTGTCCATACACCCTGAGATTCCGGTAGATAGCATTTGGAAGGACCACAGAGAATTACAACTGAAGATGAAAATATTCAGTTCAGTACTAATAACAGACAGGTTCTGAGGGGACAGGCTTAGAAGTGACAATCTTTTCTTCAAAACTGTGATTAGATCTTAAATAAGCAGGCAGGCAAAGTAAAACCATGGGTACAGTTAATAGGACTCAGGAGGCATTTTATGGTAGGGCTTGCACCATAGGATTTAAATACAACCTGAGTTAGGCATATGAATCCTTCTATAAAACATGTTGATGTGAAACATAAACACTAGTAAACATGCAGTAGGATGTCCTTCAGATAACGGGCTGAGCTTTGTGCTACTTTTACTTTTCTTCCTCCTTTTTTTTGTTCCTTTTTTTTCCCCTGTTTTTGACCAAATGCCTTTTCAAATATGAATTAAGAAGAAAACGATGGCTGCTTTTATTATTGTCACTGTAATAACGCTCTAAAATTATGTTTGTAATATGTGACTTATCTGGAAAAGTTTGACACACAGAGAAACAGAAGAAACCCTAGCAATCATTATTCTTAAGAATTTTTATTGTTTAAATATGTTCAAGATATACTCATCTCATGGTTTAATATTCTGGATTTGGCTTCTCTGAATCATTTTATTGGGAGTCTTCAAATAGACAAATTGAGTTTTTTGATAGCTTTTTCTAAAAGAAGCAAGTAAAATAATTGCTGGTTTTAATAATTTCCTTCAACTGGGAAGCTTTGTAAAGGGATGCTAATGCTTAAGAATTTGTTCATCAGCTGAGTAAAATCACAAAATAAGTTTTTATTGTGGCATGAATATTTACTGGGGAAAGTGAAACAAATGAAATTTTAGGCTGTATAGAAGGTCAACTAGGCTAAGTTAATTTTTTAAAGTTATATATGTTTGGATTTGTAGAAAGTAAATAAGATAAAACAGACTTCATTATGTTGTTGTATGCAACCATATGGAGTTTAGGCACTCTTGTTATTTTCTTGATGAACTATGTTGTTGTGGCCTTTATACAGAAATGAGAAGTTAGACTCAAATCAGGGAGTTATTTCTCATCCATGTATCAAGAAAGAATGACAGTATTCTATAATATATTGTAATATATACCTATAATATATTGTAATATATACTTGGTGATAAATGGATTGGGTGCTGTCACAAGTCATCAGGTCGGCTTTGAAGACATATGACTAGGATGTAAGCAACTTCTTATCTTGCTGTTGATATTTATAGATTTATAAATATTGCTAAAGTGAATGTAGAATTTTATTTTAAAAATATGATGCAAAGTGTATTCTGCCCAGACTTATTTCTTCTGCTTTTTTTGCCTTACGGTGAGCATTCTCTCTTGTATGTGTACATTCAGACACCTCTGAGCTTTTCACTTTCATTTTTTTTCTTGAATGCTAAAATTAGTGTTAGATACCAGAATGTATAATACATGAAAAAAAGCATATCCTTGATTAAATACATTGACAGATTATTCTGCATTAGATGTAGAATTTTATTTTTATATTAAGTTTGTAGAATTAATTGTTTGTGTCACTAAGGTCAAAATAGTTGCTAAAAAACCATGATTGCTTTACAGGGTAGATTTGAGCTTGCATTTTGAGCATTCATTAAGTCAATGCTACCAAGATAATCTTTTTAAATGTTTCATGGGAATTTATTGCTTAGAAGCTGTTTCAGTTGACTATGTATAATGTTATTTCTTCAAAACAGTTTTATTTTGTTAGTATATTACTAGCATTTGATTGGTATAAAATATGAATAGTATTTCCAAAAGTAAAAGTATGGTGCTAGCCTTCAGGTTATCTTAGTGATTAAAAAAATAGAAGTTTTGCTTTCTTATGTGTTTTTTTCCTCATGATTACTTAAAAAGGAGGAGGAGAATAATAGGGGGAAATTGTTTATCATGTGAAGTCTTGAATTAGGTGTTAATAAAACTTATGTTTCTATACGTTGGACAGTAGACCAAACTACTAGAAACTTGCATTTTGGCTCTTTGAAAGAGAAAATAATTTTCTGATACTGTAGAGGAAGTGTGTATTAAAAAGTGACATAAAAATATGCAGCTGCTACACCTGCAGCAAAAGCTGATGCCATAAAGAATACTGATGATATGTAAGTTAAATAGAAAACTTCTCACTGCATCTGATTGTACTTATTATTACTTAAATTGACCCCAGCATATTAGGCAAAAATGCCACTTCCTAGTGATTTAAAATAGAAGTTAAAATTATGGAAAGGTATGCGGAAATGTTGCAGGCTTAAAAGAGCAAAATTCTGTTAGGTTCATTTATAGGAATTTCATAGCAGGTATTACCAAATTAGCAGATGTTGAGCTAGTAGAGGAAAGTATGTTTTACGAATTCAGGCACACATGTGGTCCAATCTTTAATTTACTACAGAATTGGGAACGTCCTAAAATACAAGAATGTAATTTTACCAAAGTCCTGATATGCCCTTAGAACTATTTCTTATTATTAGTCTTTTTTTTTTTTTTTATTTTTCTTGTCCTGTGCTTGTGCAAACACAGTTTTTTTTCCCTTTGGTGAATTATTGGAGAAGGGCTAAATTCAAGTACAGGCTATCTGTCTGCCTACTGACACTACAGCTGGAGTAAAAAGACTGTATTGCCTTTTCCATGCCTGTCATCCCAGTCTTTTACGAACGCCTTTTTGTCTGATTGTCCAAAAAATTTGAGCACATGGCTATTTAATATAACTGCCAGGAGGTGGGTCTCATTGGGACCACGCCTTGCTCTTTCCACCTGCGAAGTGGGAATGATATGTATCTGGCTTACATATTTGTTTCTGAAGCAATTCATAAGCTAGACTCCTGACTACATGAGCCAAACTATCTGATTAAATATTATAAAAATCCCATATCACATCTCAATGTTTTGATGGGAATACCAATTTTCAGATATAAGGTTTGTAAAAATGTCTACTGCTTGTGCAGCTATATAATTTTCTAGATCTTGTCTTCAAAGACATGTGAACATAAAGCACCATGTTCATCACGAGAATACATATTAACACCTAAATGTGTAGATTAGAACAAACTGCTGTAATATCACTGGAAGATTTTTAGAAAAGCACATTGAAATAAGTGTACATACTTTTTTCCTAAGGATAAGATAAGCTTAATAGATTTAAACCTAGATTTAAAGTAAAACTTACCAATT